TGTCAAAAAAAGGAGTTCAAACGAAAATTCAACAAAGAACGCCTTCAAGACGATCACGTCAGGACTAACTTCCAAGCCTCTCTAAGCCAGAAATTTCCGTTAGAGTAGCCGGAAAGCATTGAGAAGCACTGGAAAATACTGAAGACAGCAATAACATTTGGTTCGAAAGAAACGGTCGGTCGGCTACATACAAAAGAAGCATCAGGACTGGTTTGATGAGAAAGAAGCACAACACTGAAATTCACGACCTTGTAGAAAGAGAGCGCATAATGCATGGAAAAGCGACCCCAACTAGACTGTAAAAAAGGCAATACCAACAAGTGAAAGTAGAAGTTCAAAGACAAACGAGAGCATCGAAGAACCAATGGTGGCTAAACGAAATGCAGCTACTAGCTGAATTCAACAGCACCAGGGCATTCTTTCAGGCTACTTAGATGGTATACGGACCAACCACTCAAGGACTCAATCCCTTACGATCCAAAGATGCCTCAAGATTGCTGAGAGACAGTTCTTGCATTAATTCTCGTTGGAAAGAACACTTTCAGGAACTACTTAACAGGGAATCAGAAATTAATAATGACATTATCACCGAAATTCTACAGAAACCAATATAACAAGAACTAAGCGAAGTTCCCAGATTAGTAGAGAAGGTTAAAGGTAGGCGGCCACTGCGAGCGAAACGAAACTAAGCTGTGCTAGACGAAGCTAACGGTAACTAAACTTAACTAAGTTTGAGCGGCCACTGGGAACGATTTTCGTTTAGTTCTCAGCTGTGTTTTCATGCGGAAAGACCTATAAATTTATTTAAAAAGTTAGAATGAGTCCTGTTGCAACAAAAATGGATCTGTATTCAAAGTCAGCATGTGTAGAATCATACTTTTTATGTGCAAACACAGTGGAAAGTAAATAAATAATAAGTTCGCAGCGAAAAACTTCGTTCGAATCTGACACGAGCTAAATCGAATGAAACGAAACTAAGATTTTAACCTTCGTTGACAAATCTTCGCTTAGTTTAGCTAAAATGGCCGAAGGTATATTTGAGAGTATGGTAACTAATTTACTGAAAACCTATCTTCGCTTAGCTTAGTTTCGTTTCGCTCGCAGTGGCCGCCCGCCTTAAAAAGGCAATCAGACTAACTAAAGAACCATCACTCAGCTGGTACTGACGGCATTCCTGTTGAATTCTTTAAACAAGGAGGCCGCATACTAAGTGCCCAAACCCACATCCTCATAAGTAAAATATGGATTACTGAGACCATACCTGCCGAACTTAGAGATGCCGCCTCCACAGTAACCATTTTCAAAAAGGGAGACAAGGCTCAATGTGAAAACTACAGAGGAATATCTTAACTTTCTCTTACGAGAAAGATACTTGCCAGAATATTTATCTAATCTTTTAATCCCAACTGCCGAAGACAACCTCCCAAAGACACAGTGTGGCTTTAGACCCAACCCAAGTAGAGCTGATAGGATTTTCAGTGCAAAACAAGTGCAAGAGAAATTCAGGGAACAAAATCGCCCTCTATACATGGCCTTCATATATTTAGTGAAAGCATTTGATTCGGTCAACAGAGAAGCTCTTTGGAAGATATTGGCAAAGGTTGGATGTCCGCAAAATGGCAAGACCGACAAACCAACATCAGTGTTTTAGAGGAGGCCAAAACAACTAGCTTTGAAGCTCTCATCATTAGGCACCAACTTCGCTGGACACGTCACATCGTCTGCATGCCCAAAACACGCCTTCCACGACAGATTCTTTACAGCCAACTGGAAGAGGTAAAACGAAATCAAGGAGGTCAACAAAAACGATACGTAGGTAGATGTTCTAAAGGAAAATATGGTAAAGTGCCGCATTGATACCAGTAACTGGGAGACGACGGCAAATGATAGGCTCTCATGGCGTCGAGTAGTCCACCACGGACTAAAAATTTTTGAAGAATAGCGACGCACGAATAGGGACCGCAGGAAGGAACGAGAGCACAGAGGAAGAGACTATGCTGCCAGAGACTGGATGTGCCAAAACTGTGGAAGAGTGTAATATGCGGCTCCATAATTGGTTTATATAGCCATCAGAACACGCACAATCGACGAAGAATTGAATAGAAGATAATCATATTCGGTTTCGAGTGATTGCCTATGATGATGATGATATAAGAAGCCCACATATCTTATTTTCAGCTCAAATAACAGGACAGATCAGTCAAGTCATTATTAGATAGGGCAGGACATACAGGTCTCTCATTTCAAAACTTGTCACCCACGTTACTGAGTCCTGAGTAAAGAGACAGATTTGTGAAAAAAAGCCAACAAACCCGCTGAGAGGGAATGTTTTTTCCGTGAATATTCTCCACAATAAATTTGCTGACGTGCGATTTTTATAAGAAAAGGAGAGCAAAAAAGGGCCCAACACTAAAAATCCCATACGTGCATCAATGAAGAAACTTCAAAGAAATGGACAAAAATACAATCTCAGAACAGTCTTTAACTCCAAAAGGAAAAAAAAACTCTAAAAGACACAAAAAATTGTATTTACAAGGAACCCTGCGCCTACGAATGCAATACTCATATTATAGGAGGGATGAAAAGACCATTCGGAGTACGAGTAAAAGAACAAAAAACGAGCACCAAAAAGGCGAAACCACCAAATTCAGCATAGCTCAACATGTATCGGAGAGGCAATACAACATACAATGGACTCGGGTAAAATAGAACAACACTGGTTCGAACGCAAATTCAATGGACCAGCGCTTAGATTGAACAGCGTATATTTATGAAAACCAAAATATAGGTATTTTACCACGGGATTCAAGAGCGCCACTGTCATTCGCTTGATCGAAGATTCACAGGAAATATTTTATTTTTGAATTGAAGAGAAGCTTATTAAGTATGTCGTTGACAACGACTGAATTGGAATTGAAAGAATGTATAAGATATTTCTCTGTTCCGAAATCCTAGTAGTAACCTCCGATTTTCTATCCAACTGACCAATTAGCATGCATCAGGATGGCCTTCAGTAGGTACCATGAAAAAGTCCAGTCTCTGGTATAAAATTATTTACCTTCAACATTTGGACATTCTGTAACTGATTGAAGTTGCAGGAAAAAGGCAAAGAGAAATGAGGTCGTTTGGAAGAAATTTGTATTGAATTGTCTGCAATGGTTTTTGATCGTTCTTATAGAAAAGATGTTTGCCTGCCTAAACCATAGTGTCACGGATTCCGGGTTGCATTTTTTCGTTTCCTATTTGGTTACCGCTACATGGAGCGCTAATCCTTCAGGACTTGTAATGCTATGTCTGGCATCGCGTTTCCTATTAGGCCAGGGCACATTGTCTACGGCTACATGGCGCGCTACTCATTTAGGACTTGTTAAATTATATCCGACGTCGCGTTTCCTATTAGACCAGCGCACATAAATTGAATAACTATGCTCATTTTGCCAACCATGCTGTTACGTGACCTTTGACATTGGGTTGGTTTCTAATAATAAACATTAAAACAACTTGCAGAAATTAACTTTTTTTGTAGCAGCCAAATTCTCTCCAGCAGTAATTAAAAAAACCTATGAAAAACTGTTACATAGTTGCAGGCAAGCACTTTGCCGCGGTAGAAAATATACTCATTAATAATAAGTGTTTCTACTGTGACAGGAAAAAAATATAGGTGGCAGCAAAGAACTTAACTGTTACAACCAAGTGACTTTTTGCTAACTTAGTGAAGTGCGTTCTACTACTAGAATAGGATCGTTTTGCGATTACAGCTGAAATTTCTGCTAGATAGCCGAAAATACATTAGTAAAGAATTTTTGGCTAAAAGGATTTCTCAGGGCAGAATCAACAGAAATAATAAAACGAGACACAACGAGAAATATTACAAAATAATTGCACCACCTGTAACTACCAATTAACCTCAAAAAATGACAACGATAATGAAATGGATTGCAGTGCAATGGATGTCTGCAGACGATGATCGCAGAGGGTATGTGCTGGTCTAATAGGAAATGCGACGTCAGATATAATTTAGCAAGTCCTATATGATTAGCGCTAGATGTAACGTTAGGCAATGTGCGCTGGCCCAATAGGAAACGCGATGCCAGATATAATTTTACAAGTCCTAAAGGATTAGCGCTCCGTGTAGCGGTAACCAAATAGGAAACGGAAAAATGCTTCCGGGTTCACTAAAACTCACTTCACGAAAGTAACAACTCTTAATAAACAAATTGACTTTATAAAATTCACTTATACCTCATCGAAACGTACTCAACAAATCCTGAATTTATACTTACTCAAACTTATTACTATACGTGCTATTTATAGTCCGACTCCAGATCTATCTAGAAAAATATGTTTATAAAATACAACAATATTATCAAAATATTATATTGTATTTGAAAGTTGGCATCATGTAAGCAAAATTCAAGAGAAATTCATTCACCTGTACTCCAAAGATTTCAATCATTTTGGATGGCGCGTCAAGTTATTATATTATCTGAATCATGGCCATAAGAATTTCCTTATTAAAGAAAAAGTTGCATCAAGATACAAATTCAATTTGAAATACATATACAATTTTCATCCCAATAATCTCGATAGGGACGATAGTTTGCCAAATCTCTAAGGATTTACAAACATCGAGATCTACATATTCCTAAAATACGAAATTCAATACAATGAAATTCATCACAATTTTGAGCACCTTGTTATTTCACGCAAAAATCATGCTTATAGTATAGGTAGATATTTCCATGCAAAGCAAAATATAAAAAAGTTTTATCAATCATTCAACGTATACAAATAAATATGTATTAACATAATGCACTCTAAGCCTGCCATGAAGCCTTTTGTGAGAAGGGAAACGGTATTTATTAGTAGATGAAAGTAGAACATTAAATGCAACAAGACTACAATAGGCCTACCACCTACCATGCAACTAATATAAAACCGACACCAAAGGAGATTTATATACAAAAGGAATCGACAAACAAAAGGCGAGAAGCTATTAACTTTAATAAATTTTATTGTTAAAAACAGAGTTTTTTGTTATGAAAATATGTTTAATTGGTAATAAACGTGATAATAGAGTTTGTGGTCTTGTAAAAACTATGCCATCATCTTTCTAACAGAGTAGATATTTTTTACAGTTTTTAAATGATGATAAATTAAATAAATATTTGCATCTAGATATTTTGCTTGGATTATATTACATTTTCTTTTCATACATGCAACTTTTAAATGAAAAAACAAATTTACAGCTTCATACAAAAACGACTTATGAACTAGATTCTATATGTAAAAAAAATACATGAAATTTATGGTTTAAACGCTAAGTTAATCCTTCTATAGAATATGCTAAAAATTATCCTAAATCTAAAAGTTTCTGTATAAAAATCTATATAGTAAGGGAGATTCAAAAGTGAAATTTGAGGCAATTTCTGTCTCTGATTTATTATTTAAAAAAAAAAATGCGGTTTTAGCTTTCAAGTATTACCTGTTTTGGAAAAATATTACAAAGCTGAAGCTTATTGAACAATAATAATGCCTCAAACTCTAAACGGGATATTGTACTATTTTATAGGTAATTAACGATAACGATCACATATTTAATAGACTTGATTCATACTTGTCTGTGCCAATAGGTATTTAAGAGAAAAAAATCTAATTTTAGTTTTATAAATCGTTCTGTTATAAAAAAAATATAACAATTTTCCTGCCTTTGGGCACCTAATTTCTAAATATAACCTTATGTACCTAGGTCGTAAGTCTACCAATTCAAAAATTAAAATTAAGGTAAAATTTTCTTTTTGAACATTGAATAATATGAAACTGCTATAGAAATCTACCTATAGAAAAGTACTTAAAGGTCTCCCGATCGGATCAAAATATGTGCCCTATATCTAAAATCGTCTCTCTGGAGAATGTATCCTACGACAATGGCTAAGGCTATCAGACTGACACCGATGGTGTTTATGACCAGACCTTCTTCGTTAAAGTGCTGATAGTGGGACCTAGGAAGGAGAGAGGACAAAAAACAAAATGGTGAATGATCTAAAAGCAATAACAAAAAAATGAAAAATCCTAAAATAATTCGTCCAATCTAAAGTAAAAACTACAATTTTTTGATACTCAGAATGGAAAAAATATTTGATTACTGCTCAATGCTCAGAGGTGTTACTTTTTCTCAATACACCAGGACAGCTATAATATGCCAGGACACATGGGTGGTGTTACATAGCAAAAGATTTAGGATTCTTATATTTTTTGAAATGAGACAAAATGTTTCTATAATTTCCTCCGTGACATGTTTCTTCACACGGTGCCTTCTTTAGACAGAATAACGGAAATTATAAACATTTTTTTTTCATTTACAAATGTTAATGGTTAATGGATTTCTCTCAAGTAGCGGCTCAATCAATCGATCATATTTTTATATTTGCGGGTTTATATAGGAGATAAGTGTCCTAAATTATATAATACTAAGTTTGCAACCATGTCAGAAGGCCGCTCGAGCCGCCATATTGAAAAAGAAGGCGCAGATGAAAATGGTTTTCTGCTAATAATATCTTTAGTTCTGTGTGGCATTTGAGAACGAAATAGTTATCAATCAGTTTCTTAAAATCTTTAATAATTCTCCGGTAGGTAATATTGGGACGTAGTTTAGCCTCAATTAATGTAAAACGGTGTTTATAAGCTGCGAATAGGTCGGACAAGTACCGTCCTACCTATACATATAAAATTCACAACGGTCAAAGTATCGAGGGAATGAATGAGAATAAAACTCATAAATATGTGGAAATAGAGCAGGCTTAGCGAATTTATCATCGGACCATGAAACGAGAATCAACAATGGACTTTGAGTTTATAAAAAAAAAAATGGAAGTTAATGAGGACTAGGACATATGTGAACAGCATAACATTTGTTCTAGGCGGTCATTTGGATTTGCCATCTGGACCAAAACAGATGTAGAAAATATCCAGCGAAAGTTAAGAACATTTCTCACATTTCATGCAAACATCATCCCACACCACACTACCCCGACAGCTGAGAAGGTGAGGTCTGGCAGTAGTGGAACTTATTGCGACCTTATATCAAACACAGTCCCAAAAACCTCAATATAGTACACCGTGCCATGTGAAGTTGAGCAAAAACATTAGGGATCCCGCAGAACAAAGCGATAAGTGTAGAAATAGATGCCATACCTCAGAGCCAAGACTATCTAGCACGCGAGAATATTAGGCATTTGGTGAGAAGGACTATAAGGAAATATTCGACATAGCCGGATGTCAGCCGTGGTATTGGCAGTTTAGTCCGTGGATAGTAATGCTATAATTAGTTCGATTCATGGTTTTTCAGCATCCTGTTGCTTGTTGTAGTTGGCCTGATATTTTTTCACGTTTTGTGCCTGCTCTTTGAGTTAATTCTCTATTTATTTTTCACTTGTGACAACTCTCTGTAAATTGTAAGTCTGGGCAATCTACAAACAGAATTCTACCAAGCGCTCTCAAATATTCGAATCACTGGGCATACAGGGGTCGATCAATACTTGCTAGACTTTCGGCGAAAGTTGAATTCAACCAAGTCGTTGATCTTTTTAACGACCTTGTATGGTCCTTCCCATGGTCTTTGCAATTTCAGGCTTAGTCCTTTCTTTTGCTGTGGCGGATACAACCAGAAGGAGTCGCCTTCATTAAAGGTGGCTGCCGATTGTCGAGCTTCGTCTTCATTGTGTCACTATTCAGACGTAGTCTATTCCTGGCAAAATCGTGACCCACACGGATTCTATCCTAGAGATCGGTCACAAAAACTGGAAGTACAGCATCTTCCTCATCGGCCGGTGGTCTGCCAAACATTAGATCTACGGGAAGCGTCATCTTCCAGTCAACAGCAGTGGTGGTGTATAACCGATAGATTTATACTGACAGCTTCTTCAAGCCAGAAGGATAAGAGGCACCAGTTTATTCCAGTCTCGCTGGCGTCTATCCACAAATACCGTGATTGATTGATACATATACTGATTGTGCCTCTCGACCATTCCGTCCAACTGTGCAAGTGAAATTGTTCTTGCTAGTGATAGTTAACCAATGAAAAGGCATTGCCTCGTGTTGCGCGCGCATACCAGGTAAAAATAGATAGGTCTATTGAGTCTTTCAAAAATCACCTGCCATTGCATAATCCAAACGACATGACGTTAAATTAATGAAGGCTGTTTCTAGCAGTGAAGGCGTGCTTCTCTTCATCTTCTTCATTGACTTCCACCTGCAAATATCCACTTTCTGACATAAAAGTTGAAAACCACCTGGATCTTGATAGGGTGTTAATTAAATCGTCAATTTGGGGTATTGGATGGCTGGCCTCTGGCTTCTATAATCCACAAGACATCACCCTTTTCATTCACAAAATAAATGACTTTCTCCGTTCCTTGCTAGCCTAAATAATTCCATCTCTTTTTGACACTCTCAAGAAGTTCTAGAGATAAGAGTTCTCCATTTTAAATAGGCTTCTTTTTTGACTAAAACTCATGCTAAAAAGACGAAAACTATTTCCTACTGACGTCTTATTTAAAAGTACGGACTAACTAACTGTTAGACAATTATATTTAAAAAACATTATCAGGTTTGCACACAAAACAAATTTATTCCCATCTTTTGTTGATCATGATATGAAAACCAGAGCAATATCCAACTTAAATATGCCTTATGAAACACAAAAATTTTCCATAACCCAGAGATCTATCAGATATATCTGCCCCAAAGTGCTAAATATTTTTTATATAGATTTAAACGTACACACACAAACCAAAAGGTTAATCGTGTACAGAAGGAACTCTCAATTTTGTATTTGATTTCTTTGAAAGTAAATTATTTGATTTGATTTTTGCGCTTTTCACAGATAGCTAGTGTAAATTTACCTATTAACATCCATTCACCTAGTTTTTCGTTTGATTGGCTACCCTTACATGAAAAAGTTTGTTGGAGTTGACTGAACATATTGCTACAAGAGTTCATTTCTGTCAGTTTTCTGTTTGATTAACTACTATGGTGTTAACGCCTTTTAGCTGTCTTTCTTGATGTATTTTCACGATTGTTCCACAATTCCACCTGATGTAACAGTGACGAGAAGAATATTTTCTTGTTATCCAGTCTCAGCTTCTTATTTTTTTAGTACACAGATAGAAAATCAAATATTTCTGGGACATCCACAATTCTACACCGAATAGAAACTCATCATTAGTATAGTCACGGTGATCTCTCCAAGAATATTTAGTAAATCTCTCCTAGCTGTTTCTAGTAGCGGTTTATTTCTTCATATCATCACATAGTCCTTGTTTAAAATAGTCGAATCACATTCCTTGCTGTTGAGAGTTCCTTGGGTAACGACACAATTTCTCGTGACCGCGAATACTTCTTTTTTTGCTCCTTCTCTAAGTTTTCAATGTTAAGTTTCTTCAAGTTTTCATCGTTACAGAATTTTTTGTTGAATTCAGACCGGGAATAAAATAAAACACAAATCGTGCTGCAATGTTATAAGCTTTATTGGGAAGATTGTGTTTAAATAGGATTTCAGGTACTTCCGTGGCAATTGCCTGTAACGTTCTGGACAGCATTATGTTTTAAGCAATATTGACGAATAATTCTACCGATCCATAATGCTCACCAAACAGTTAGTTTTTGGATGTGGCAGCGTTTCCATGATGGCTTCTGGAGTCCCTTCACTCCAAATCCAAGAATAATTCTGGCTTTACATGGTCATTGAGAGGAGAATGAACCTAATCGCTAAGAACAACATTTTTTGGTGGAAATGAGGATCAAGAACAAGGTTCTTCATGTCACGTTCAATTATGTTGACTGGAAAATGGACGTGGCGCACGAACCGAACACGATTTTCAGATTAATATTGTAAGATTTGAAGTCGTTGACCATTCATCTTGAAATTCCAAAACAAACTTAGCACCAAACAGCTGTCAACTGTCAAATATGCTGTCACTAGAAACAATGTTGCCAAGTTTTCATTTTTGGTACTAGATATTCCAGTCTTCTACGGACCATTATCACGACTCCTCTTATAAATGCGTACTCGCCTTTTAGTTGTTTTGGAATCGGTAATCTTCGTTTTTCAATAGGATAGATTTTTCTTTTGATAATCTTGACTCGCACAGTCCAAAGCCGCATTATTTTGGATATTTCTTCTAACAATTATTTTAGGCGGTCGTTTGATTTTATTGTTCAAATATTGTATATATTGCTATGTGTAGCTTTCTCATTGCTCTTTTGGCTGCCCAAAATCGTTGAGACATACCCTCATTGTGGAGAAGGACTTGAAGGAATCCACCCACCTGGGGTTAAGTTCGTCATAAAATCCGCCATAGTTTGTTTGTTGGGGGTGAATGAAAGTACGTGAGAAATACTGTCCACGTACACTCAAAACAGTATCGGCTTAAGGACGCTTGTAACGAATACCGATCAACATCTTTATTTTTTTCCGCATCCTCGCTCTATTGATTTCGGTAAGAGATATGAAGAAAAGTGCGATAGCGAGTTCCATAACAATCGACGATCGCAATTCGTTACATAGCTCTATTTACTATGCACTAGTTCGAATACTCCTAATTAGCTGTAGAAGTTTGTTTATGCCGGAGTTGCAGTAAAGTATATAATCTCCCACACTGATTAATTGATTATATTTTGAACCCATTGGAAAGTAATAATTATTATTACGCTCGGACGTAGGTCGGCAACATCACAAAACAAATTAAATAATCTTCTGATTCCTTGTTTGGAACAGGCAAATTGAGATTTTGGTATACTAGTGTAATATAATAATGACCTGTCAACATGCAATCTGATGTATGTAAACCAATTTGACAGGTGCACCAGCACCAGGCATGACATGTATATTTCATTGGAGTTCACGGCATTGGCAACATGAGGATTGTATGTAATGAAAACGAATTTTCAAGTAATCGGTTTTAACACATTGGGGTGAAACAATTAAAGCACAAAAATAGACAAAATTATGATTATGATAGGTACTCGGAATCCCAAACATCCTAAAACATTAGTAATTAGTCCCAATTAACAGTCCAACTAAATCTAACTTTAGCATTCCTTTAATTATTAATCTAAGCTTGGGATAAATATTAAAGTTTGTTAAACCTTCGATTGCTTAAAAATATCCACAAAGAACAAGCGGGAAATAATTATTTATGCACCTGGTTTAGACTAACAATCACGTTCGATACTTGTAGATATAAATGCAACTTTCTTTCAAGTATAATTTTTACGAAAAGTCAAGGCAGCTATTGCGTGATCGACTAATAAATTAAAATTATTAACAGAGTAAACGAATCGATTATTATCTAATTTAAAACGTGGAATTTAGGAACAAATATTAGCTTAATTAGCTATATAAAATAATAAATCATAATAATTTATACCTACCTAACTATTTTCGGAAAAATCGCATCATGATGCCATCTAATCTAAGATCATGCAGCATGACTTATAACAATAATTCAATTATCATCATGCCTAATAATAATTATTGTAAAAAACAATGGAAAAAAGTGAAACTTCTCCATTTTTTTTTGATTCGCTACATTTATGATCCACTCGTGCGTATCAGACGAAATTTTCATTTCCCAATTTACTGATTACATGCCTAGGTAGTACATGAATTAGACTTACCCAAGAGTGAACAGAGCCTTTTCAGTTAAACCCGAAACTGCAGCTGCTATAGCTAGCACAAAAGTAGTAAGTCCGAAGGAGGCATGGATTGGCACTAAAGATGCTCTGAAACCAGCAGTAGCGCCCTCGCAGCAGAGAAGGACGAGAAAACTGAAGAATCCGACGACAAACTAGAAAGAAAAAAAATTCAATGATTTTTAGAGAATCAATATCAAAGAATTTGAAAATGAATTTTCAATATAAAAATAGAAAATAATTCTATTATTTTTTGTATCCTTGCCTTATTTATCTGACTTTCCAATACAGAACGATGCCATCATAAACCTGATGTTAACTATTATAGAAAGCTTCACTTCTCTGGTTCTCATAAATTTTTTTCGTAAGCAACGGGGCGTGCACTACAGTAGAATCGAGATTTAAAGCAAACACGTAAAATCGTGAAATGTTAAACATCAGGTGAATATTATGGATTGCAACTTGCTTTTTCCGCATCTACATGAGCGGATTTAAATCCTAATGGGTTTAATCATTAAATTTAATGTTCTAATTTATTTCACAAGGAAATAACATTGAAAATTTTAATAAAAAATACATGAGGCATATGCGCATAAATGGTTCAAACCCAAAGACGCAGGTGTGACCTGAAAACCAATCATTATACATATATTAATGCATTCATAATGCATATACTTATTGTGTAGGTTTTTCATAAAATGAGTCAGATATGAGGCAATTGCCCAATTGCGGTCAATTAATGATTAATTATGGAAAAAATTGATGAGTAAATTGATGCATCTTACCTGTATGGCGAAAAGCCCCATTGCAGTCAATCCAATCCAACTGTGCAACGAGTAAAAGTTGGGGATTGGCGGTTGAGCTAAATTATGGGAATCTAAAACGGCCAAAAATCCAAGAGCCACACATGGTATGGCCAGTGCATGGAACACTGTATGAAGAAGTTTTACGTAGATACGTCTGCAGCATCGACATATCCTGTAGAGCAGGACAGCTACAAAAAAAGAATGCTTTATGTTAATTCATAATTGGTGAACATTAATATTCTTATCATTATTTTACCCATTATGTTCCAAAAATAGTTATTTATGGTACTAGTGTGTTATGTTGAAAATAAGTCACGCGAGAAAGATTTATACCACGAGGCCGTTAGGCCGAGTGGTATAAATTCTCAAGTGACTTAGGAAACATAACACACGAGTGGCATACAATGTTTTATCCAACAAGTGGAAGATATAATTTTCTAATGAGATAATAATTAATAAGCTTTGTGATCAAATCAAAGCTACTTGCGTCTTAATGATGTCATTGGTCTCAGTACCCTATAAATGTCAGAATGACTTGACAGTGACTTTTTTATATTTTTGTCAAAGCACATACAGTAGGATGTTTGATTGGTTGCCACGGGCATGATACATTTTACATACATTGCTAGCAAATGTTTAAATACATTTTGACACTTGTCAGCTTTCCCTGCAGAAAAGGGAAGCTTCTTTGAAGAAAAAAACGAATAGAAAATGGAGGAAACCGATGAAAATCACGTTCCTGAGGATATCCTTACCGAAGCAGAAGAAGCAGCGATACAGATTTTGCCAATCAAGTCCCGAGATGCTTACGACAAGGAGTTCAAAATGTTTAAGTCTCACGTAAGATTGAAGGTATCGATGAAAATATTCTATTGAACCAACCAACGAATTTTATAATGACTTCAAATTCGAATAAACCGTTAGCGTTTTCCTTTAATTTCAATATCAATGTGAATTTGGCTTGTAATAAATAAATAGAATACTACTTTAAATATGAACGTGAGTTATAATCCATAAATCACTAGTGAGTTATGGATTATAACACACTAGTGTGTTATTTGATAGTTTACTTGTCTGAAATGACATTAATAATACCAGTCATAACTGTCATGTGTTGGATAAACATATAAATTATTATTATTTCTCCACTGTTTGATGACGTAATCAAAAATTTTTGTTGTAATTGTATATTTTATGGGGTAATAATAAATTATTAGCTGAAAGCTTATTCTGTGTTGAAGAGTTAAAGCATCTTTGAAGTGAGTTTTATACAAAAAAACATCGATATTCTTGTGTTAAATTAATTCTTTCAGTTGCCATCCTTTAGAAAATTAAATTTCGCATTGCAAAAAGTTACATCATAACCTGCATTTAATTATACATGAAGGATTTGTGAATTATCTCACTCTTGCTCGCTTGAGAATGCGTCCGGGCTGCAAGTGAAGGTTGCATTACAAATAGTATGTTTAAATTCTATACCATAGTGTAGGACTTGTATATCTTTTTTTTATTCACGTTTAATTTTGCTTCACACCTTTTTTTCCTTGCCTTTCCTTGTCTCCTTGATTTCTGTTTTCAAAATTTGAAATGATTGAGCCCACACTTGGTGGTGAAAACTGAAATCCATGCTATTTATCGTTTCTATTTTTGTCATTTCCTTTATTGCATTTTTCCACTTTCTCTATCTTATTTGAATTTTGTTTCCAGTTTACTATTCTGCGCACGCAATTCAAGTTGACCTTTTTTGTGATTGATAAGTATTTGGTCTCTTCTTGTCACCTCATTATTGTAGCTTGTACTTTTTTTCCTTTTTCATTAATTTCCTTGATTATAAACCCATCCAAACGTTGAATTGGTCTCCAGATTTGTATCTACGTTACTCTTGATTTCCACTTTTTATTTGATTTTTTTTTGTTTATAATGCATGTATGTACTTAAATACTTTCCTTGCCTCCTTATTTTTCAGTTAATTGCAAATTTTCACTTGTTCTATTTGAATTTTCAATGCTTTCTTTTCAAATTACACAACGGCCTATGTGTACCTTTCTCAGATTTATTTATAATCACCAAATCTTCTGCGAATGTTCCTTCTGGTACATGGCCGATTCTCTATTTCTTGCTGTGAACTTTTTCGCTTTTGTTGTGTATCTACTTTCTTTTATAGGCTTATCGATGCCCGATAACGTTATTTCATTATAAGTAACACATGTCCCAAAAGTTTCGGCACAAATTTCAACAACATTTTTTTGGATAAAAAAACAATACAAAAGTTTTGTAATACATAGGTGGTTAATAACTATTACAAAAGCAACCAAATTATATACTTGAATTAAATAAAGTTGGCCATGAAATGAAAGGAAAACGATGATTCTCATATGCTGACAATATTGCATACATCCCTAGTAATAAGAGCTAAATTCGGTAATAGGGATTTGGTATGGTGCACCATTTCCGCGCGAGGTTTATCTAGACCTTATAGTAGGCCAAGTAAAAAATACATCTGAACAAGAGTTACATTTGCTGGAAATTATATTAGGCGGTTAAAGTGCTCTCTCCAACGTAAACGTTAACGTTTGAATTGACAGGTTTGGGTTTGCGTGTCTACGTAACGTTACGGGTTTTCACAACACACGTTGCATCTCGAATATGCTTCCGATAATTGGCGATTGTGTGTCTGACACATGCCGTTTTCGACTAAACAAAAACAATAACGTATGACTAAACAAAAACAATAAAATTAACCTAACATTTAAGCAAATTTGGATTAATTGCTTTGAATTATGGTAGGTAATAGAATCAAATAAACAAAACCGTTGCCCTGCCTTCAAAAATCACATTTGTTTGAGGTAAGATATCTAAATTCACTATATTTGTTTTTGCAAGCTCATACGTCTACGTCCTACTTTATGCTTCAACTTTATGAAGCATTCCGTAAACGTGTAGTGTTCACGTTTACGTGATTCTTCAAGTTTGCGTATATATTCTTTGGTGCAACTTCAACTGCGATTGTGCGATTTACGCGATTCTAGACTTTTAGAGATTTATCGACTGAATGTTTTTGTATTGAAGCCTATAGTTAGTAGGTCAGAAAGTCAGTTTAAATAAGAGAATTGACGTTAAGTAAAAGTGAAAAGTTTTGTAAAGTTAATGAGCTTAATATAGTTGTTGTTTTTGGTGAAGAGAGTTGAAGCGGATTATTCTGCGGACATTTTGCTGTCAGAAGTAGGGTAATTAGTAAGACAATTGTTGTAATAATTTGAGCTATAGTGAAATTATTTCCTGGAATTAATAAGTGTACTCTTGCTGAACTGAAATAATTTCATTACTGTTGTTGACATTGAAAAACAAGTCCACAGAGTGATTCTTTTGGAACATTCCATCGCGTTCTAGACAAGCTCCAGGTCGAGCTACACGGACTATATAGAATATTTTATGGTTGGCGGACTACATGGAAAATATCGAATACAAGAAGAAAGAACAAGATCAGCTTGCAGCACTTTTATAATAACAATAATACGACAAGAAGAAAGAAAAATAGGGAGACGAAGCCTGCTTTTACTTTTTACCATGTTTGCGCTATGATATGAATAATTTCCCAAATTCACACACGTTCTTTGCTAACATCGCATCAGTTTAAAATACATATGCCTATATCCCCACGTTTGATCTATACAGGGTAAACCATTTAAAACGAAACAGGCTGAATATCTGATGCAACTTTTATTTTTTAAAAAATCGCTGGTACACGTAATTTGATTGTGTGAGCGTTTGAAACATTTTCAGCACTAACTTAACCCTCTAAGGGGGGTGAGACCAACCCTACCATTCCAAATGGAACAGGGGGACGAGTGATACCTGTTTCAAAAGAGCGTTCAATTTTCTTTTAAATGACATCAAATGAAAGAGAATTGAACAATCTTTTAAGAGAGGTTTCACTCGACCCCTTGTTCCATTTGAAATAGTAAGGGTTGGTCCCACCCCGCCTAGAGAGTTAAAGTTGAAGTGCTAAAACTGGTTGCAGAAAATTTTTTGAAAACCTTTGAAAATCAAATTACGTGTACGAGCGACTTTTTTAAAAATAATTGTGGCATCAGATATTTAGCCTGTTTCGTTTTAAATGGTACACCCTGTATATTTACGTCTTTTGGTCGATTTCTTTCTTATTGATATTTCTGTCGTGAATTTTTTCCTGTAAATTAGTATAACTTTATACCCTTCTGGTTTAGCTCTGATTGTTTATACTCCTTCTTTCTATTTTTTTTTTATAGACATTAAAAGGCGTTATTTTCTCTTTCTAGTTCTGTTAAATGTTGGATTAATCAAACCGACATAACTACAACCAATTTGTGCTTAGGAAAAAAATATTATAAACAATTATATGTACTTACAAAATCCACTAAAAGTGATAAATCCAGCCACCATCAATACAGGATGAAGGTTGAACTGTCGTTTGGGGTCTTCTCTCCATGCAAAACCACCTCTGTACTCTATTACCCAGAAGAGGGTGAGTCCTAGTGAGCCCAAAAGCAGAATACTGGCCAGTACTACGACAAGGGTGTATTCTAGCCAGCTCCCACAGCTCCATTCGTTATCGTCTTCGTAGTGTCTGTGACTAGAATAGAAAATAAACTGTCAATAAATTAAACCTACACTCAAAAAAGTTAGTGAGGATTCAGGTACCAAATTACATAAGAATATTCAGTCCTACATGCCGGATATTTTGATGAACTTCTTAAACTAAACCCGAACACGATACGAAACCCTGAATATCCAAGAGGTCCTATTCATTGAATTGAAGTTACCTACAGACTACAGTAGGTACTATCGCAAATTCCCGTGATGATTCCTGGATTGGACATTTTTGCCACACAGCCAGAAGATTCATTATATGTACAATTATACATATTTTTATAATAAGTCATCAAGCAATCGGCTTTGTAAGTTTGTAGCGTTAGGCAAAATAATTACAAGGAGCAATTGTGAATAAATAAACTGGGCTTGTAGAAAATTCCGTGATAAATTAGTTCAATTATCTACTTTGATATTAACCTATTTTCGTCCTGTTCTTCACCTTTCTTGTCGTCTCGGTCCAGTATTATTGCTGTTTCAATTTATTATTGGAAATTTTGCGAGGGGTACCAAGTAAACATTTCAACGTTTATTTTTTTCACAAAAGTGCTAACTAAACTGAAAAACAATTCTAGCTTAGATTGACAACTTTCCGAAATAAGGAGGGAATGAACAAGATCAAATGTTAGAAAGATGGGTCAGACGAGACACTAGAAGAGTCGTCGGTCTGCTCGCTGGGCCTGGGGGCCACCTAATAAAATATCACCTAAAAACAAGCAAGGAATGACTTCAGAGAGCATCTGCCCTGCTCAATTTTGCCAGTGGCTGAACGGGCAAAAAGCTGGCTTTTTTGGAAGAAACTTACAAATCCTGGACACCAACTAGAAGCAGACTCGTGCTCAAAATATAGAACGGTAGCGGTGATGAGCAGCTGTATCAGTCCGAAGCGATTCCAGATGCAATCTTCAATCAACAATCTGGAAAAATAGGTAAGCCAAGAACTTCATCACACTTGATGAGTTTGGTAAAAGCAACTCTTTCAAAAGTTGTGATGCAAAACAACAGTACAGAGTTTCTGATGTACACTTGGCCAATCATAAAACTGGCACGCATTTTCCTATTGTGTTGTATTGTGTAAATCGACCTTTTTTATCACCTCAAAAATGACAAAAAGAGACAAGTCAGTGTCATCTTTAAACCAAACATAACATAAAAACATGTTGCATTTACTTTTGTTCAGCTTTGACATTGACAAAAACTGTCTGACCTAAGTTTTTCAGAAGAGACTTTCTGTTGTTAAGCCTGACTCACACTAGGCAAATTTAAAAAAATATAGGTATTGCCTGTACCAGTTTTATGTTTGGCCAACTGTACATGAAATTATGCTAAGAAGATAGCGTGCCTTGTCTAGGGTTAGGTGGAAGAACAGACGCCTGCTCTTGGTTGTTGGATGTTGGAAACAAGCAACCACGAATAAGTCGCGAAGAGTAACCGTCACGTTCGTACTTGGTGATAGAGGGTTCAAGTCACCTTACGCTCACGCAGGCAAAGCAATGTGGTGTCAGAATACAGATTGGGTGGGTGACAGCAGTAGCACGGGACGATAGGTCGCCCGCACTGCCGCCAACCATCTAGTGTCCAAGTATAAATGGGACAGGGTAAAGTCCACACAATGAGACAAAAAAGCCTCCAAGGTTGAAGTATAGAGTAGGGGCTCGAAAGGGTGAACGAACGAACGTACGAACCTACAGAGTAATGTATAAATAAAAATAACATAATAGGTTCAGCAGTTGAGAGTACCTTCCCAATAAAAAAGTTTACTTTGGGCTAAAGTCCAATCATCAAGCATCTAGGATGGAGATCTGTCACTCTGCTTTGAGAGACAAATGCTTCACCATATATTGGAAGGCTTTTGTTTTGGTTCCAATTTCCATCGCATCTAGACCCATTCAGAATGTTTGATCAGGTGAGTATCGACATAATGAATAACCGGAAGAACCGGACGTGGTGCTGGAGCCCTACAGCTTTCATAAAGAACCTGACATTACACGATCGATCAGAGCCCTGTTAATTACTTTTTTCTACTACTAACCTGAGAAATAGTCATTATCCAATCTATTTTTCTAGAAACAAATTGAATTTCTCTCCCTAAGTGAATAATAAAAATAATGAAAAAATACCTAGGTCAATAATGAAAATCACGTCATGACGCAAGGATATTGTCATGTTTCTAGTGGTTTAATTTCAAGTTCATACTTCAATTTAAAAAAAAAAACGGTTTCTGTAGGAACATAGGAAGTTACCATAAGCTGTTGATAGAGGGCAGCACTTCAAGAAGGCGTTCAAAAAAAATAATTTGAGCACAGATTTTAAATTAATTTTTATTTTCTACTGGTAGTATCTATATATTCCTCGGCAGAGAAAGTCATTATATACCTTACGCACTATAAACCTCGGCGCTTCGCGCCTCGGTTTATAAAAGCGCTCGGTATATAATGACCAACTTTTCTACCTTGGTATAAAATATACTATTTTTACTACTAACCTGAAAAGTAGTCATTATTCAATCTATTTTTCTAGGAAAAAATTGAATTTCTTTCCCTAGGTTAATAATGCAAATAATGAAAAAAAAAAAACTTAGGTCAATATTGAAACTGACGTCATGACGCAAGGATATTGTGATGATGTACCAGGTCTCTATTGGTTTAATTTCAATTGCAAACTGTCAATTTGGAAAGAAAAAAAAAACAGTTTCCTGTATGTACAAGAGAAAATAATTTCAGCACAGATTTCAAACCAATTTTTTTATTTTTTACTAGCAATAGAAAAAAAAAATTACATATTTCTCGGTAGAGAAAGTCATTATATACCTTACGCATTATAAACCTCGGCGCTTCGCGCCTCGAATTATACAAAGTTCGTCACCAGGATCCGAGGGATCTCTGCCTCTAGAAGATCTAGACTAGCAGTTTGCTGGCTGTGTTATCTTTTACAAAGCTGTCTTTGACTAAGAATAATTATTTTGTCTTATTGAAGTTTGCGTTATAGTTTTCCTTGAGTGACAATTTGACATTTAGGTCAATGCTGTATCTTCTCCTGCTATTTTAAGAGCTACCTACCTATGTTATGGCTCAACATCTATACCTGTCTCTATTTTGATGTACAGAACAAACAATGACAGCTAACTTAACGCTGCTGGTAAAATAACAGAACATCATAGGCCTGATTATTTGGAAAGTTAGAGACAGAAAGGTAAATATGAGTTGATGAATAACTGAATAAGCTGGTCTGTCTAAATTTGTGATAATAGATTATTGTCCTGAAAAGCGGTGCCAGTTAAAAAAAAATCATATTTTCCGCCAACGAAAAACTGAGTTATACACATTTTTCTTTAAGACGTATGTTTTGAAACGAGAAATATGCATCTTCCTAAAAGGCAGTCAGAAGAACATGCTTTATGAAGAAAAGCTGTAATATTTTTATTGTCATATATTGTTTAAATACCAAGTTATAATTATTTTGTCATCATTTGTTATTCTGAAAATTGGAAAAATATATTCATAAATATATTTTGACACCTATTTATTAATATTTCCTTATGCTCATAATATAAAAAGCTTCGTATTTGCCACATCTTTGAAAATTATCAGTGTCTTCCTTAACTTAAGGATCTTATAATTACTTGCGGTCGCTTGCATAAAATAATAGGTACCTAACGAATTTATACACGAACCTATATTGCTTGTTATTCCTGAGTCTGAGAATATAGAAGTAGGGGTAAATCGGGTACACGTAATTTGGTTCCCAAGACAATGAGGGTTAGAAAAAAATAATTTAGTGTTATGTATTTTAGCTGTAATATGTACACTTTGTAATTTAACGTACGTTTCAGTTTGAAATTCCTTCAGTTTTTCCAAAAATATTAAGATATTGGGGTGAGCTTTATAAAAGGACGAATTAAAGTGTTTATGAAATCATACACAGGCGTTGGTAGTGCATGTAAGAGCTGAATTGTGAGCCCGAAGCAAAGGTGGAAAAAGAGAGTGTTCTGATACATAGGTAGTTATCTGTCAAATAATCTGAATATTTCTGTATATTTTCGTTTTTAACCAATATTGCAACTTCTTTTAGAGGTCTAGGTACCAAATTACATATCGTCGTTAATTTGACAAAGGGACGTATATGAGAAATAGGCGATTTTTCGTTTTCAGGGAATTTATGTCGCAAAACATCAAATTTATACGCCCTCTAATTGGTGCATATGAACTGCCTGTAGTTTCTGAGTTATACACATTTTTCTTTAAGACGTATGTTTTGAAACGAGAAATATGCATCTTCCTAAAAGGCGTACCTATATCATTTACTACCTGCCAAGAACCAAATTACCAACAGTCAGAAGAAGCGGCTGATTGCCATATTGATCCACTGACCACACGATATATTTTATCATCTTTCAATTTATGAGAAGGTTCCATGAGTGGAAAGGAAAAGGGATTTTCCAGTTATAGGTTGGATATGGCAATGGAATAGTCTTATTCGCGGTCCCAGTTCCCTGGAGCATCACCTTGGACAATGGCTTATTGAAATTATACCAATACTCAATTTTTCATTATTTAGCAGCTTTAGTATTTTATTTATTATGATCAATCAATTGAAAAAGTAGAATTGAAATAATAAACACATGAAAATAAAGAAATAGATCGACTATTTTCTTCAGTCATCAATAAAGCACCAACGTTCAACATGATCCTAAATCATCCTTATCGTCATTAATTACCACACGAGACGTTGCTGCAATTTATTATTGGCAAAAAAATGTTTAAACTTCAAGGTCAGTTTGTATAAAAAAAAGCATTTTACATTTTATTCCTACATGAATGAAATTATTGTTAATTGTAGTCTATTTATGGAGTTTGTTAATAGGTAGGTATTAACAAAATTATAGTGCGTGAATGAACATAATCCATACGCAAATTCGTGGGTAAGTATAAGGATCTCTATCAGTTTCAAGATGCCATCAAATTTCAAATGTTTTTTACGGAA